TGCTCCCTTCTCTGAGGCTTTCCTGGTCGCTTTAGGGTTTGGGACTAGCCAGCCTCTTGCCTGTAGGTCAGAGGGGGACGCTTTGCCCCGCCTGCGCCCGCACCTCGAAGGATCCCGACAGCTGCCACCAGGGGGCGGCATGAATCCCTGTTCCGGGGCTGACAGCGGACGCGGACCTTGAGAGAAGGACCAGAGTTGCGCTCCGGCTCCGCTGATGGCTGGGCTTCACTGCCCTCTCTCCCTCCAGTCAGGTGACCCACCCACCTCCCCGTATCTTTCCTCTGGGCCCAGCCCCTGCAGGTGGCCAAGTTGACTCTGCAGATTTGGGGTTATCCCCATGCAGAGACACCCACAATTGAAGTGAGGGGGCATCTGGCTTGGCTTTTAAATGTCCCACATCTTTGCCTTTGGGGAGGCTTTCTGAGCGGTGGTGCATCCTTCTGGGACCGTCAGAGCTCACCCGGAGCCCTCCCGTTCTCAGCTGTGAATTTGTGGGGTGCTGGGGCCAGGCGGCCGCCCTGAGGGGACGAGCTGTCCAGAGTTCACTCAGTCGGCTTCATGAGATTTATACGGTTCCTTTTGGCCGGTGACCACTCACCGCAAATTCAACTTTGAGAGCCGCTCACGGCCCAACAGCTCTGATGCTGTACTATGATTTAGTTTCACACTGGCCCAGGGGGACCGCCTTCCTCATCCTGCCAGCCGATTCCTTAGCTGGCAATCACTGTTCGCTGTTAGAAGTACAGGCTCTGAGCCTCAGCACCCACGATTTTTCCGAGTCCCCTGAGATGAGTTGAGTGTGTGCCAGCGGGGCTCATGCTACCTGAGGCTTGGACGTGAGGGCAGTGCTGGGAGAGGCGAGAAGCCAGTCAGTGGGAACCTGGACCAGCAGTGGCCAGGAGGAGACAAGAGAGGAGAGAAAAGTGGATCTGCATTAGCAATGCCTTCAGAAGCGCAATTTATGGCTTCAGGACACAGCTGGTACCAAAAGGACTCTGCAAGGAGAATTTTTTGGGGGGGAGGATGACCTTCAGGCATCAAAAGATCTCAAATCAAAGGAAGAGTAAATTATATTCATCAAAAGCCTGATCCAGAAAGGGGACCCGGGTTCTCTGGTAATTAGAACGTCTATTTCCAGAACATTCTTTGGCCTCAGCATTACCAGGAATTGAAGTTTTACTGAACCTCAGGGTTTGGGGCTTAAGTCATTGCACTGTGTGTTCCTTAATGTCCGTACTTCTCCCCCTGGGGTAGATGCGAGGTGCGATAAAAGCACACAACAAACACGGCACTACTGCATTAAGCAGAAATGTCACTTAAAGATTTGGAAAATAGAACATTGCTCACAAGTTTAAAACAAAATTACATAATGAAATAGAATGCAAAATTCATAGATTTTATTTATTTTTAAAGTTAATTAATTAATTTATTTATGGCTGTGTTGGGTCTTCGTTTCTGTGCGAGGGCTTTCTCTAGCTGTGGCGAGCGGGGGCCGCTCTTCATCGTGGTGCGCGGGCCTCTCACTATCGCGGCCTCTCTTGATGCGGAGCACAGGCTCCAGACGTGCAGGCTCAGTAATGGTGGCTCACGGGCCCAGTTGCTCCGCGGCATGTGGGATCTTCCCAGACGAGGGCTCGAACCCGTGTCCCCTGCATTGGCAGGCAGATTCTAAACCACTGCGCCACCAGGGAAGCCCCAAAATTCGTAGATTTTAAAAATTAAATTCTAGCTATTGAAAATATACGGCTTCAGGATGTACTTTGGTTTACTGGCACTGCCTTTCCTAACGTGCTATGCGACATTGGACAAGTATCCTCACCTCTCTGAGCCTCTGTTTCCTCATCTGTAGAACATGGGAGTGACTCGGACTCCGCCATTTCCCAAGCCTCAGGATTTAGCCTGCCATGCTTTTCCTTGTATTAACTTCACCAATCCACCTCTTTCCTTATGTATCAGACAGGGTGCTCCAGAGAAATAGAACCAATGTATATGTTTATGTCAGACTGATTTCAAGGAGTTGTCTCAAGCCTGAAATCTGTAGGGCAGCCCCACAGGCTGGAAACTCAGCCAGGAGCTCTTGAGACAGAACTTATTCTCCCAGAAACCTCAAGTTTTTGTTTTCAATAAGGGCTTTCAGTTGATTGCATGAAGACCACGTCCATTTTTTATTTTTATTTTTATTTTTTTTGCGGTACGCGGGCCTCTCACTGCTGTGGCCTATCCTATTGCGGAGCACAGGCTCCGGACGCGCAGGCTCAGTGGCCATGGCCCACGGGCCCAGCCGCTCCGCGGCATGTGGGATCCCCCCCCGGACCAGGGCACGAACCCGCATCCCCTGCATCGGCAGGCGTACTCCCAACCACTGTGCCACCAGGGAAGCCCGCACGTACATTTTTGAGGGTAATTTCCTTTAGTTTAGTCAACTCATGGTAGATGTTAAGTGTATTCACAAAATACCTCTTTCAGAACAGCACTTAAGTCGGTGTTTGATGAAACAATTCAGACTGTAGCCCAGTAAGTTGACACATACCTACTGTCCACACCTGGTGGCGGTGAGTGGGGCTGCTTTCATGGGTGCTCGGCCTGTGCAGCGATCAGAAGGGCCCCATGCTTGTTTTAATGCCCTGCTGTCACCCTTTTGAAATCTTTTTTTTTTTCAGTTGAAGTATAGTTGCCCTCGTGAAATTCTTAATCGTTTTGTGCTGGGCCCTGTGAACTACACAGCTGGTCCTGCTGAAGGGGTAGCTCTTGCCCTCGAGGCCGTGGACTTAGGTCTTGAGCCAGCCTCTCTGGGGAAGTTGAGTCCAAGTGGACTGGCCAGGTGTCTGTGGCTGTACCATTTCCCTTACACTCCATTACACACTCCCTGGTATTGCTATTTCATGCCCTATGCACATTAGTCTTGTTTCCCTGAATTCAAATATAAATTTCTTTACTTTCATTGGGGTAAAAATATATATAACATAAAATGTACCATTTTAAGCATTTTTCAGTGTACAGTTCAGTGGCATTAAGTACATTCACTTTATTGTGAAACCATCACTCCCATCCGTCCCCAGAATTTTTCATCTTCCCCAACTGAAACCCTGTACCAGTTAAACACTATCTCCTACTCTCCCTCCCTCCCAGCCCCTGCCACCCACTGTTCTACCTTCTGTCTCTGCGAATCTGACTACTGTAGGTACCTCATGTAATTGGAACTGTACAGCATTTCTCTTTTTGTGACTGTCCTATTTCACATAGCAGAATATTCTCAAGGCTCATTAATTGTAGCGTATATCAAAGTTTCCTTCCTTCTTAAGCCTGAGTAATAGTCCATTGTATGTATATTCCACAATTTATGCAGTCATCCATCAGTGGACATTTGGGTTGCTTCTACATTTTGGCAACTGTGAATAATGCTGCTATGAACATGGGTGTGCAAATATCTCTTTTGAGTCCCTGCTTCCTGTCCTTCTGGGTATGTGCCCAGAAGTGGAATTGCTGGATCATGTGGTAATTCTATGTTTAGCTTTCTGAGGAACTTCCATACCATTTTCCACGGCAGCTGCACCATTTCATTTCCACCAGCAATGCACAAGGATTCCAATTTCTCCAGGTCCTCGACAACACTTGTTATTTTCTGTTATTATTGTTTTGATAATAGTGGTCCTAATGGGTGTAAAGTGATATCTCATGGTGATTTCATTTTCATTTCCCTAGTGATTAGTGATGTGCAGCCTCTTTTCATGTGCTTACTGATCATTTGTGTATCTTCTTTGGATAAATGTGTATTCAAGTCCTTTGTCCATGTTTTGTTTAAAGGAATTTTGCCTTGTAAAAAAATTTATTTATTTATTTTTGGCTGTGTTCGGTCTTCGTTTGTGTGCGAGGGCTTTCTCTAGTTGCGGCGAGTGGCGGCCACTCTTCATCGCGGTGCGCGGGCCTCTCACTGTCGCGGCCTCTGTTGTTGGGGAGCACAGGCTCCAGAGGCGCAGGCTCAGTAGTTGTGGCTTACGGGGCTAGTTGCTCCGCGGCATGTGGGATCCTCCTAGACCAGGGCTCGAACCCGTGTCCCCTGCATTGGCAGGCGGATTGTCAACCACTGCACCACCAGGGAGGCCCCTTTGTCCATTTTTTGTTTGTTTGTTTGTTTTTGCAGTACGCGGGCCTCTCACTGCTGTGGCCTCTCCAGCCGCGGAGCAACAGGCTCCAGACGCGCAGGCCCAGCGGCCATGGCTCACGGGCCCAGGCACTCCGCGATATGTGGGATCCTCCCGGACCGGGTCACGAACCCGTGTCTCCTGCATCGGCAGACAGACTCCCAACCAGTGCCCTTTGTCCATTTTTGATCAGTTGTTTTTGTGTTGTTGAGGAGTTCTTATATAGTCTGCGTATTAACCTCTTATGAAACATATGATTAAAATATACATTTCTGGATGCCAGGAACCTGTCTTAAGGTTCTTTTTATAAAAATAAATTTAGTTATTTAATTTTTGGCTGCATTGGGTCCTTGTTGCCGCGCACGGGCTTTCTTTTAGTTGCAGTGAGCAGGGGCTACTCTTCGTTGTGGTGCGTGGGCTTCTCACTGCGGTGGCTTCTCTTGTTGTGAGCATGGGCTCTAGGTGTGCGGGGTTCAGTAACTGTGGCACTTGGGCTCAGTACTTGTGGCTCATGGGCTCAGTTGCTCCGAGGCATGTGGGATCTTCCTGAACCAGGGCTCGAACCTGTGTCCCCTGCATCGGCAGGCGGATTCTTAACCACTGCGCCACCAGGAAAGCCCCTTAAGGTCCTTTTAATTCCCCCAAAGCACTTGGCACCTTGTAGATGTTCAACAAGAGCCTGGTGAAAGAATAGCCACAAAGTGTGGTAGGTCAGAGGCAGCTCGAAACTAAGTTTGCAGGAGGGATATGAAGAGCATTTTCCAGGCAAGTCCGAGACCCGTTACCTCTGGAAGGCAGTCGGGGAATCAGGGAGCCCCCTGCTCCCAAAGGATTACCTTGGAGATGAAGAGGAGGGAGCAGAGATTGAATGAACTCTTGGCCTTTATTAAAAAGAAGGCAAGGAGAGTCCCACTCCCCAAACATCCCCTGGAATAGACACACTGTAGGTCGGGCTATGGGAGGTCAGATGGACAGGTGGACCCTCTGGAAGAGGGCAGTCCCAGGGCAGGGGGCACGCACCTGAGCATCTGAAAGACCCTCGAGAGTGAAAGAAAGCAGAGCACAGCACACACGACCTCTGTGCCCAAACACTTGCCAGGGGGACCCCTCCCTGCAAGGGTGGGCAAGGGATCCCTGGAGCTCCGGACACCCAACCAGCGGGTGGAACCTGTGAAAGGCTGAATCCTGACCTCCTAGACACAGAACATTTGGGGGCTTCTCTGTCTTCTGGGAAACAGCATGTGGTGATTGCAGGCTTGGGCTGAAAGGATGCGGCTGAAGAGGTAAATGGGGATTTGGTGCTCTTCCTTACATGGGGTTCCTGTGAGGATGAGGGAAGTGGGAGCTGCCCAGATCCAGACTCCTTACTCTGGGTTAGAGCAGCTGTGGGCACCGCGGCAGAGCGCCTGGGGGAAGAGGTCTGTTCCCCATCAGGCCAGAGGGACGCTGAGCCTTCAACCTCATGGGAAGTGGGCCTGGGGAATGGGATGGGGTGGGCTTGACTTGTTTTCTGTTTGTGCTTCAGTAGAACACCTTCTCCAGATACACATTCAGGAACATCCCCGAGGGGTCCAGCTTTTCTCGGATGGCACAGAACTTCGGAAAGGCAGGATACATTTTCTCGAAGTCCTTCCGGGTGCAGTTGTGGGCCTGAGGAAGCAACCAGATACAACAGGCCTCGTTCCCTGGAACCAGCATTGCAGCGGAGCTGCAAACAGGCCCCCACGTCTGGATGCCTGCATGTGTGACGCTGCTACCCCCAGGCACACACAAGCACATACATGCATGCATTCATTCACATGCACCAATAATGTAGAGACCCAAAGAGGAGGGAGGAAGTTCTTGGAAAGTAAAGAAGGAAGGTGTTAAAATGCAGCATTAAACTTCCCATTCCCTTTGCCACCTGGCAGTGGGTGAGTGGAGAGGGCTCTGGCCCCAATTCAACTGCTAATTAGTAAGTAAGTCCTGTCACCTCTGAGAGACCCCTAGTTTCCTGTCTGTTAAATAGACCCACCGCCTTATCCTGCTCGTAGGGTTACTATGAGAATTAAATAAAATGAAAGGTGAGGAAGTTTTCTGAAAACTCAGAGAATTAGTCACTGGGCTGTTGGAACATGAATGCAGAGGGAAGATGGTCTGGTTAGGATCGTGGGGGCCCTCCTTCCTGTCACTTGCTCAGCCCAAGTTTCCCCACATCTAAGCCTTGGGCAGGCAGGGCAACTGGGAGGAGAGGCGCCCTCTGGTGGAAGCCTCAGCTCACAGCAGCTGCCCAGCTGACAACCCCCATGAAACATCCTACCTTGGCCCAGTGGGGCCTGCCCCCCACCTTCTTCATGATGGTCTCGTAGGCCAGCCAGTAGTCCAGCCGCGGCACGTCCTTGCCGTAGGGCCTGGGGAGGGGGCAGAAGGAGGTGAGGCCCTGTCTCTGCTTTGCACGGTCCCACCCACTGTTATTAGGCACCTTGCCTGTGCCCTCAGGACATGGACAGCAGTGACCCAGCACCTTGAGGGCTTCTGCTCAGAAGGATTTGGAAAAGGTTTACATCCTCTTGCATATTTTTTAACTGGCCACTGAAAGTTGTCATGAGTTTAAATAATTTTAAAGATTTGTGTGTGTGTGTGTATGTATGTATATATATATATACATACACACACACACATATATATGTATGTATATTTATATACTCATGTAGCTTGAAGATTTCAATTTTAAATCTAAATATTTTAAAATGTAAATTAAAAAAATTTAATGTAAAGATTACTTTAAGGAGATATATATATATATATATGTATATATACACACACACACAAACCTTAAAAATAAATATTTGTATCAGAATCCCCTCATTGATGTATGGAAAGCATGGCCATATAACCTAGTTGGTCAGTCCTGCAAAGTCAGATTTACTGACAGAAAAAGTCGAAGTCAGAGCTTTAAAAAATTCAAATGTTATGATGCAGCCCCATGGCAACTTTCTCACTTCTGAATTTACATGCACAGGTAGGGATAAGATAGACAGACAGATGTGGATGAGGCTGGCTGCAAGTCTGTCCCTACATGAAATAAGCCTCCTCTCATTCAGTACGTGTTTCAGAAACTCTCTTCTGGCTTCAGGGACTCCCGCCAGGACAGCGCCTTCTTGAATTGTCCCTTGGGATCCCTTGAGTTTGGGGTTTTTTACATGCTGGAGAAATACAGCATAGTAAGATTCAGGCTGGGAGAGAGTATATTTGTCTTTTGCAAAGTCAGAGAAGGGCTATTATCAATGGAGGATGGGAAGGAAGGAAGACATGTCTTAGGCAGGAAGTTTTAGAAAAGAGAAGCTTCTTAAACCGTCCATGCCTGTAAGCCTCATACAAGAGATTACTGTGCAACTAATCAGGAAAAAGATAACGCAGTCATGAGGTTAAGGTATCGGCACAGGGCCTGGTGGAGCCGGTTAAGATGGACAAATGCATCCAGGCCTGATTCTCTTTTTGGCTGAACTGAAACCTGGCCTCAGAATCCTTCTCGACACAGTGCCAGGCTCTCGGAATCAATGACTAGGGCAGGCACATGAGATAGCATAGACTTGTCATTCAGTAATATCAGCTTCACAAGTAGTAGCTATGCATATTAACATTAACATTACTATTACATATTCATTAATATTAATGACTGCATTAACATAACATAGGCTAGAAAGGGTGGTTGTAGGAACTCGAAGGAGAGAAAGACGATTTTCTGTGGCCAGGATCAGGGAAGTCTCCCGGGAGAAGGTGGTGTTTGAACTGGACTTGAAAGCTGGGAAAGGAGAGGGGTCCCTTCGAAGCAGGGTGGCAGGGTGGGGGTAGGGAGCCCAGCCCCACCCTGCCCCCTCCACGAGCTGCTCACCTGTACATGATGATGTTCATGTAGCAACTGTCGCGCTGGAAGCAGGGGCTCAGCAGGATGTCGTCCCCCCGGGTGAAGCGCACCTCCACGGGGTAGTGGGCCACCACCTTGGGGTGCGCCTCCAGCATGGCCTTCAGCTCCAGCAGGGCCTCCTTGGTCTTCTCTCTGCACTCGGCCCAGGGGGATGGAACCCAGACCTCAAGAAGGGGCCTCCTGAGCTCCCATGAGGCTCTGCACGGCTTCCCAGCCTTGAGGGCCTCGGGGATCCCGGTCCCCAGGAGGCCCCTTCCTCATGGCTGCTCTCAAAGTCCTCACAGAAGAGGAGACCTACCAACTGCTCCCAGCTCAGATCCCAGGGACCCCACCCAATCGGGGGCTCCCCTTGGGTCTCTGACCACAGCTGTCCCATGCCCCAGCCTCCTCTTTTTCAGACAGTCAGGTCACTCTGATTCCAAGACTTCTACTTTTTCTAATAGTGCTTCCCCAAGAGTGTGGTGGCCTCAGCCCCTGAACATGGTAACAGAGGCACCCCTTAAGCCCTGGGCACCAACCCCCCCCCCCGCCTTTTCTTGAAGAGGGACAAAGAGGGGCAATTCAGAGAGAAAGCTGCAGTGATCTGGGCTACAGACCTAGCCTCAGTCCCGAGGGGGTGTGTCCCTAGGGACTGAGATGCAGAGTACCGGCCCCCAGCCTGCTCCATGGACTCAGCCGACGAGGGACAACGCAGGTGACAGTCTTTCAGAAAAACCAGATGCTGGCCAGCCTGCTGTTACCCAGCTGCATGGCTGGAGAGGAGCTGATGGGGAAAGCGGAGGGGATCCCCTGGCTGGTTTCCCTGAGAGTCACAATGGTGCAAGGGCACCAGATGGGGATTCAGAGCCTCCAGTTTGCCCCCCACTAATAACAGGTAGAACGGGGAGCCTGGTTGGCAGTGTACGTGCTAGGGCAGATCCCAAGGGAATCTGTTTGTTGCCGACCCACCCGCAGGCTGGCCCACACAGCCCCTACCTGGGGATGGCCCAGTCCTGCACGTGTTGCTTGAAGCGGCACTCGTAGGTGAAGATCTTGTGGCTGCGGTTGCAGTTTTCCTTCTTCCCATTGAACAGGAGCCAGAAGAAAAAGCGGTTGATCCAGCCCACGAGGCCTGGGAGGAAGGTGCTGGGGGGGCAGGGCAGAGGGGCCTGTGATCATCGTATTATCCAGCAGTGAGTGAGAGCTGGCTGTTTGCTGGGCGCCGGGCTGAGTCCTTTACAAACCAGGACTTCATTCTCCACATACTCTGCCATGTACGCTTACCTACAGCCTGGAAATCCCTCCAGGGAATGTGAATATCGCCCTCCATCACTCTCTCCATGGCTGCCCCGTGATCCAGTTATGGATTTTATCTCACATTTTATCCCTCTCTTCCCCTTTAATGACTAGGTTATTTTCAGGGTTTGGGTTTGGTGAAAAACCCAAACTTTGATTAAAAAAAAAAAACACACGTAACATAAAATTTACCATCTTAACCATTGTTTAAGTGTACAGTTCAGTAGTGTTAAGTATATTCACATCGCTGTGTGGTGCATCTCCAGAATCTTGCAAAACTGAAGCTCTGTCCCCACTAAACAACAGCTCCCCATTGCGCCCTCCCTCCAGCCCCTGGCAACCTCCATTCTACTTCCTGTCTCGATGAATTCGACTACTCTGGGTGCCTCATAAAAGTGGAATCACACAATACTTGTCCTTTTATGTGTCTGGCTTAGTTCACTTAGCATAATGTTTTCAAGATTCATTCACATTGTAGCATGTGTCAGGATTTCCTTCCTTTTTAAGGCTGGATAGTATGCTGGTGTATGGACATACCCCATTTTGTTTATCCAGTCATCCATCAGATACCTGTGTTGCTTCCACCTTTTGGCTGTTTTAATAATGCTGCTGTGAGCACAAGTGTGCAAATATCTCTTTGAAATCGTGCTTTCAGTTCTTTCTGATATATCCTCAGAAGTGGAATTGCTGGGTCATATGGAAATTCTATTTTTAAGTTTTTGAGAAACCTCCATACTGTTTTCCCTAGCGGTTGCACCATTTTACATTCCCACCAACAGCGCAAAAGGGTCCAATTTCTCCACATCCTCGCCAAAACCTGTCATTTTCGATGTAGTACCACCACATGCCACACCATAACAAAGGTCTTTGTACTTATATTCTTACCAGATTGTTGGGGCAAAGGGCAGGCAGAGTTTTAATTTCAGCAGGTTGCTGCCAGTTTAATTTCCATAAGGACTGTAGTAACTCACCCTCCTTCCACACCTGGCCATCCTGGGAGGACTTGATTGTTGTAAGCGGCCAGTGGGGGCCAGTGGCCTAGCATGGGGGCTGGGCTTATGGATTCTTGTGTTTGGAAATGAGCTGCCCAAGGAATTGCAAAGGGAAGGCTCTGCGCTTCTTGGGCCACGAAGGAGCTGTCACCTGGCTTTCTGCTCTGGGAAACTCATTCACCAAGTCACATTCTTCCAAATGTATACTTACACACACACACAGATTAAAGTTCATTTTTTTTGTCTTTATAAAAGAAATCAATTTTTACTGTAGATGTGTTGGGAAGCCAAGAAAGCAAAATCAGCCTTCTCCTTGCTTCTCCTTCTCCTGCAGGGGTTGGGAGGGTGAAAAGTACATGCTGCAGGGGTTGGAAGAGGAGGAGAATGCTGTCTCTCTCAAGGCAGATGCTCTCTGGTGTCCCAGGCCAGCATGGCCATGGGGCAGCTCCCACCGGCCCCAGGGCACCAGGCTGTTCTCAGCACAGGAGCTGAGCTTGGCCCTGGTCCTGGCTGACCCTCCAGGGATCTGTTCCCGAGAAAGCCTGTCTCTCTGTCCTGGTCAGCCAGGGCCAACACCATCACCCCTACAGTTGACCGCTACTGAACACCTCAAGGACAGGGACCAAGCTTTTCGTTAGCATTTCCTACACAAATACTATGAGCCTCCTCTAGGTGCCAGGTGTTCTTTGGGGCTCTGAGGATTGACAGGACAGACAGCATCCCTGCCCTCATGGGGCTATAGTGAGTCTGATCGCAAAGCAGCCATTAAGTCACCAGGTATCCAATCCATTATGTTAGTTTTCATTCCCGCATCCTTGGGCACATAATTCAGCGAGAGGCCCAGAGCTGCAGGGATGAGACTGGGTGGACGCAGTTTCCAGAAGACATGAAAAGGGGGGCCACATGGGCTGTGCTCAGAGGTCACGGAGCTCCCTCGGAGCATCCGCCCTGGCTGGGATGTGCCAACTGTGATTTACAGCCCAATTTATTTAGATGCTCCCTGGGACCGGACTCCACAGACACAAGCACATAAAACTGCCAGGCTGCTGTGATGGAAGGGGAGAGAAGCTGGCTGGGCATTTTCCACTCTCACCCCTGATCCGTCATCGGATGGAGCGATGGCCTCTAGGTTGGGCTCACCGTCTTTAAAAAGACACCAGAGTCCTCAAGATAAAAGACTAGATGGCTACATTTGATAAAATTAAATACATCTACACATGATAAAACACCATGAAAGTGAAAGATAAGACACCAACAGGGAGAAGGTGACGCAACACACATAACCAGAAAAGGGCTGGTGCTCAAGATACATGTAAATAAAGCTGTACAAAGCACTAAGAAAAAACCCAATTTTTTAAAAGAACAAAGTGCGTAAATGGGCACCTCACAGAAGAGAAATCTGAAAGATCAATGAACTGAAAAGCTGGGCAACCTTATTAATAATCAGGGAAATGAGAATTAAAAACCATAATGAGGTACCATTTAACACATAGCACACAGAAATTTAAAAGCCTGACAGGTCCAATTTTGTGCAGCTTATGGAGGACAGAGAACCTTACAGTGCTTGGCAGTTAACTTGGTATTACTACTTAGGAGAATAACTTGATCTTATAAAACGAAAGATGCTTATACTTGGTGACCCAGGAATTCCACTCATGATTATATACTCAAGACATCAGAAGCAATTTTCCAGAATGCTCACAGGAACGTTGTTTGTAATGGACAAAAATATTCCTGGAGACAGCCCAAATATCCATCAACAAGAGCATGGATACATACATCGTGGTAAATGCGTACGGTGAAAAAGGACTACTTACAGCTATTCATATCAACATGGAAAAATATCACTATCAAAGCTGAATTACCAATTTCTTCTTTCAGGATTCAGAAAACTACAGTATCGATAAAAGCAAGAGAATGATAAGCATAAAGTCTGGGGGGGTGGTTTACCTTTTTGGGGAGATACTGTGATCTGGGAGTTCCACCAAGAGGACTCCAATTTTACTAGTGTTGTCTCACTTCTTAATACGGTAGCAACAACAAGATGTGGGTGCTTACTATATTAGTCTTTATATTTTAAATTTGTGTTGCCTATATTATTTACATGTATGAAACATTTCAAACATCTTTATCTGATGCCATTCCATGTCTTGGCTGGATACAGAGTCACCACTCAAGGCCCCATAAAACCTTCCCCATCACTCATAGTTACGTGTTTGGTGGCAGACATGGGGCCTGAGCCTGAGCACAGACTTCAGGCTGGGAAGGAGGTAAGAAACAGGACAATACGAAGCTTCACAACACCTGTGAGCCAGGGAGTGCGGCTTGGGCACTGGTATTTTTTAAAAAGCTCCCCAGGGTTGAAAACCCCTGCTCTGGACCCAGGAGACAGACCCAGTTTGCACAACTAGGTAGGATGTTGTTGTTCTGATGGACCACATCTGCAACAGTATATGGCAGGTGCTGGGAAAAGAGACACTTGCATTCCTACCTGATCCAGAGCAGGAACTCCAGTAAATAGAATCCAACAGCATAGTCCCAAAACCAGTTGGCTGAAGAGGAGGGAGGCTGGGAAGCAGAATTTGTGGTCAGTTTGGGGCCAGAGCTGAGTGTCTCCTTAGAGGGAGATGTGTCCCAGGAGAGGCTGTGTGTGTGTCATGGGGGAAGGGTGACCCACCTGCCAGGATGATTGAAAGCCTCACTTCCTACCGCTGATTCCCATGCCCTATCCCCTCGGTTTCATGCTTTTTTTATATGTTCGTGTATTCATGTATTTTGCACAAGACAAAAATGCGCATCTGTCCCTCCTCTTCAGAGCCCACGAGCCGGGTGTCCAGCAATCATCCTTTATGAACCCTACGCCAGCCCCTTATACACACAGTAGGTGTCCTGGCTTTTGCCTGACTTGTTCAATCAACAACATCCTAAGTGATGGTTTTGTTTTCTTCTGCTGAGAAGCAGCTTGTTTGCTAAGGTCACAGTGGGGAGACAAAACCAAGGGTTTCTTCACCTGTACGGTTGCGGGTGGGAAAGATGGGGGTGCTGGAGGGAAGGTGGGATGTATTAGCTGGCTTCTGAGGTCTAGCCCAGCTTCCTAGGACTCAGCCTATCCTGTCCTGCCCACACCTCTGTCCCCTGTTCCCCTGCCCCACATCTAGATTGTCTCTTGACCTCACCCCTACGCATCCCTCCCCGCAGACACATGGACCCTTACTGGGCCCACCTTCCTTCTTCCTTCCACCCTCTGGCCTTTTGTGCTTCTCTCCTCAGGCTCAGTGATGCTCACCCTTGCTTTTCCTCTCACCTCTCACGGCTCAACAGCACGATAACAGGCGTCAGGCGCCCTGGGAGCTGGCGGGAGGGTGGGGACGTGTGGGAATGGTGGGCTGTGTGTGAGGAGGGGAAGATGTCCCGGCTACCTTGTTGGTGTGGTCCTGGTAGATGACGCTGACATTCTCGCTGTGCGGGAACCAGAGGAAGCGGAAGTATTCGGATTTTTTCAGGTGGCTGTCCAGGTTGTCAAGAACCTGTCCGAGGCAGGAGGGAGGAGTAGAGATTGTATTGGTCACAGGATGACGGTGGGGATGCTGGGAGCCAGAGCCCACCATCAAAAGAAAATACCTGAACTTGTCCTAACATTGCCAAATAGCACAGAATGTGTCTTATAAGATGCTGGCCGTTAACAATATCCACTTACAGGTGGACTTCCTTTAGTAACTTAGAGGACAAAAATGACCTCTCATTTGTTCTGGCTTGAGTAATTACTATCTATGTAAGTTTGGGCAAGTGCCTCAGTTTCCTTATCTGTAAAGTGGGATTAATAACAGTACCTATGTCAGGACTGTTATGAAGATTAAATGCATTAATGCTTAGAAAGTGCTTAAAACGGTGTCACAAGCTTGGTGAGCCCTGTACAGGTACGGGCTGCTGCTGCTACTCTTACTCTTACATTGTCATTGTCATCATCGCTTATCCCCACAAGGCCTGACACGTCCAGGGCCCTCAATAAAATGGACAGGAGAGCCTTGCTCGAATATGGCTCACCATTTGCACACGTGGAAATAACATTGCAGAGCAAATCATGTCTCCTTGACATCCATCAAGCGGATACAGGACAAGTTCTGAGCCAAAGCAGAGACGGGTTTGGGGTTTGACAGGCAGCCGGGAGGTAGGGGAGGAGCAGTGGTCTTGGAGTAAGTCCTGGATTCATGTCCTGGCTCCGCAGCTGCACGACCTTGCAGGAACCACATCCCCTGAGCCTTGGCTTTCCCACCAATAACATGTGGGCACTTGTGCAGATGAAATGAAATGACCTATGCTGAAGCTTCCGAGTTGAGTGCCTGCCACGTGGCCTGTGCCAAGTGGAGAGTCTTGTTTCTGAATGTGAGCAATGCTGCCACACATTTAGGGCCCCGGCCCTATTCCCCACCTGCCGAGTTCTCAGCTGTGAGTCTCAAGAAGCCCTCTGAGGCCTCTGGGCAGCATGTCTTCATCTGTAGAGACCTTAATAGTCTTCCTTCCTTCCTTCCTTCCTTCCTTCCTTCCTCCCTTCCTCCCTTCCTCCCTTCCTCCCTCCCTCCCTCCCTCCCTCCCTCCCTCCCTTCCTTCCCTCCGACTGTTGTGAGGACCAAGGGAGTTGCCGGATGTGAAAGCAGTTTATAAGCTGTTAAACACAGCTTGTGATTTCCACATCTGATCAGGAAGGGAGGTGAAGCCAAGATGAAGCGCTGAGGTGAGCCCACCTAAAACTTCAGTTTGGAGCATCTGGGAGCAGTGGGGGAACTTTAGAATTCTGGATCCTTGTCGTCACTTCAGGGAGGCCCCCTAACTTGTTAACCGATGCTTGATGGGGCCTGGGGGATACAGGAATGGGTTGCCTTCCAGTGACCTGGCTGCCATGCTAAACCTCCCCCGGCCCATGTCAGGCCCAGGCTGTCGGTCACCCTATTGCATCTCCGCACGTGTCTCTCCAGTCTTCCCTATAATCCGCTCCTGCTGCCAAGGACGGTGGCTGACTTAGCTGCCGCCTTCGCTCTCACCGGCCCTCTTGCAGTAGCCTCATAATTTGCTCCATTTTGCATCTCTCCAGACAACGTCACAGGGAAGCACCCAAACACAGCTCAAAAATCCCCAGCAGCGCTCCGTCTCCTACGGAATCGAGCCCAAACAGTTCAGGACTAAGATGCCTCCTTCTACAGACACTGTCCGGTACCTTCACCACTGGCCACGAGTGACAGTGGAGTACCTGGAAAGTGGGATCTGAACTGAGATGTATTGTAATTTTAAAGCTCCATGTAAATCCGCCCCCCCCCCCGCCCCAAAGCTCTCTCCTTCCATTCTAAGCAGTTTCTATTTATATCACATCCATCCCAGAAGTATATTACAGGTATTGAAGCATACATCTGTCTCTGAAATTCATCAAGCGTCTCCTATAGGTCAGTGACGATTTCATTCATATTTAGTTTCTCCCCGAGGGCAGAGAACAGCAAATTTTCTTTCTGTAAAGGGCCAGATAGTAAATATTTTAGGCTTTACCGTCTCTGTTCCAGCTACACAACTCTACCATGGTAGCGTGAAAGCAGCCACAGAGGATACATTAACAAGGAGTGTGGCCGTGTGCCAATAAAACTTTATTTACAAAAGCAGGCAGTAAGCCAGCTCTTCTCTGTGGGCCGTAGTTTCCCAACCCCTTGCCCTAGAGCTGCTAGCGTAGCTCCTTGGACACAATAAATGCGGGAGGGCCCTATGATTCCTTATTTGAAGAGGAGGGCCTTTTCTGCTGGGCTATAGACCTAGGGAAAGTTCAGGAAGAAACTCCAGAACCCTGTTACTATCACTTCCCTCCTGACTGGGTGGTGGACCCCTGACCCATCACCTCCGGGCAGAGCTGATTTTCTCCTGGGAGAGCAGGGAACACAGTCTGGGCCTTGGATGGAGGATGGGGCTAGGACACGAGAGAGCAGAAAATCCCCCATTTCCTCATGTCCCAGCATCCAAGGCCATCCTATATTGCCCAGAATTTTAGCAGTAAATGTAATGGTGCCCCTTTCTCAGCTCTGGCGACTGAGAGATGCGTGCCCAGATTTCCACCCCGAATGGAGTGATGAGAGCCACTCTCACATCACATTTTGTGCCTCTCTCCTGATCTCTGTCATTTCTTTTCCTCCCTGAATTAGAGGGACAAGGCATATCTTTTTCCCCGACACTAAACTCTAAGTTCCTGGAGGCATGCACCACGCATGCTCCAGCTCTGTACCCTCTGTGCTCCCTAACTCAGCATGGAGTGGTGGCTGAACGATGGAGCCCATCCAAGGCCCATCCCATTGTGAGCTTATCTCTCTCCCTTCAGGGCCTACAAACAATCCTATCTGGAGGAGGAGGGTCCCTAGGATCATGGATTTCCTCGGTCTGACTTGTGGTTCCTGGGAGCACCATCAAAGGGGTTTGGGCCCCAGAGGAAGTCTTCCTTGCCATGTTATTGGCATGAAGGGTTCTAGAGGATTCATTCCCCCCAAATTACTGCCACTGCTGAGTTGGCTCTTGGGACCTGGTTACCAGGCTCAAGAGCAGAAGCTGAGAGCTCCATGTCCCGTGGCTGGAGGTTACCCAGTCATCAGCGAACGACCACCCAAGATAGTGGCAGGCATTGGGATGCTGCTGACAAGGCTGGTGTGTCCCTGGGACCAAACCTGCTTCCCAGAGCGTAGCGGGAGCGGGTGATGCAGGCAGCCAGCTGTACTCCTCACATCTCATTATGGTTTGCATGGCATAAAGGGCAAAAGGTTGACAGCAATTTCCAAAATCCTCATGTCCTCTCACGGGCTATGATTTCATACCAATCAGACTGCAAAGAGTCAGAAATGCTGAGACTGTCATAAAAAGCCATGAAGGCTGCCCTCTTCTTGGCCTCACTGCCCAGAAGCACTGATTCCGAACTCCCCCTTCCTCTCATACGGCTTTGAGCAACCTTCAGAAACCGTGTTGGGATGTAGTTAAGAACATCAGTCACGGGAAGCACGGAATTGCATCTGAGATGGACCACACACAGCATGGGTGGGAGGAGATGCGGAAAATCCCAGAAAGGGATGGATTTTCAATAAATTCTTGACCAACTGACCTTGAGTTACCTGGTATTGAGGTCTGTATTTTGTGGACCCTGGGGAGGTAAAAAGACCTCAGATAACATCCCTGCTCTCCAGAAACTGACCACCAAGCAGGAAGGAGAAGGGAAAACAAATGTTAAGAGGCTCCTGAGCAAATTAGGGCAACCAGCACGTGTGGCCTGGAAAGTGCAGTGTTAGATTCAGAGTCTAGAATCTACCCACAGAGCAGGTATCAGTAGGTAGTATTCTCTTCGAATAAAGCCAGAGAGAGGACGGACTGAGGGTCCCTCTCTCGGAGGCTATAAAGGGCAGTGGACTCAAGTGCTGTGTGTCCTTGAGTCCTGACAGCAACCCCGTGGGGACAGTGGTGCTCCTATCCCTACTGTATCGGTGAGGAATCCAAGCTGGGGCTGGGGGAGGGAGGAATTGTGCAAAGTCACAGCGGGTCAGTGGAGAGGGCGGTCTGGCTCAGAGAGGTGTCACAGGCTCTACACTGCACCCTCGTGGTGGCTTTCCTGGGACTCTTCCAGAGCTCAGGCTGGAAGCCCCAGGATAGATACACATGCTGGATGGGAGGAAGGGAATAGGAAAGGAAAGACACACAAGGGAAGGCAAAGTGGCCGAGAAGCTGAATCTTCAAACCCGCCTTTACATGCAGAAAGCCATCGTCACAGTCCTTTGTCCTGGCTTCCTGTCCTCTCCTCCAATGCCCTCCTGTGGCTCACGACCAGCCCACCTGGAGGGCTTGGCCATCAGGGAGCCCACCCTCGTCTAGAGGCGACATGAGGCTGGGGGGCTGTGTGCATCTCGGAGCAGCTGCTACTTAGAGGCAAACGCTCGGGGCAGCATGGTCTGCAGCCCCAGGGGAGGTGGGACAGCTTCCTAGACACCTGAGTGGCAAGAAACCGGGAGCCGATGTCAACGTATGAACCCAGGAAGGTTTACTGTCTTCCTCTCAGTTCTCAGGAACCTGCGTGCTCCTGGAAGTGAGGCCCCATTATTTTTCCTTTTTGGAAGGAAAGCATACATGCAACTCAAGAGTGAGGAACAACTGGTCTAGTGACGGTTCTCCGATTGGTCCTCCTTCCTTCCTCTATGGGCTGTTTCCTCCTATAGGGAAGCAGCCTGGGTCTTGGATCCCACCTCCATCTTACACTTCTTCCCAAGCATTCCCAGCCCCTTGAAGGGGCCCCTTAAAGGCTGCTCTGAGTGGAGAGAGGGCAAAAGTGAATCGAATGTGGGCCAATTGACTGTACATACTGCTGGCAGTAAATGCCAGGGCTGTAAATGCCACCCACCCTCTGTGCGGTCCTCATCTGTGGCCGGCGACTGGGGGCAGGGAAGGCTGTCCGTGGGCGTCCTGCGTATGCTGATGCCGGGCCCCACAGAGACCTAAGCTGGGTGTAGGGCGCGGGGCGGCCTAGCAGCAGGAGCCGCTAGTGGGTAGGGAGAGAATCCACGGGGGATCTGCTGACTCGTGGAAGAGGGGGAAGAGCAGGGTCTAGCCCCTGGAGGCCTTGCAGGATGGGCTGGGGTCCCAGGGGAAGGACGGGGCCTTCCCACCAGGGTTCACGCCCCTCCTTGGGGATAAGGGCCGAGAACGTCACCAGATGCTCCAGGGGAAAGAAAGAATAACGTTAAGAGAGGACCCTCTGTCTGCAGGGCTGGGTGACGAGGTGCGGACACAGTCTTGTATCGAAGTGTCGCACTGGTTTACAGAACGTCCGCGCTGAAAAGGACCTCGGGGTTCACCTAATCTGACCCCACTTTTAAAAGACAAAGAAACCGGGGCTCCAGAAGTTTGAAGGACTTGGTCAAGGTCACACAGAGCGAGCTGCACAGTCAGGCTTGGGGCCCTGCCTGCTTCCCCAGAGCCCTTACAATATACTCATTGAGTGTTACTGCTGTATAATTGTGTGTGTGTGTGTGCGTGTGTGTGCGCACACGCATGCCCGGGGGCCAGTCCTACTTGCAAAAAAGAAGCAATCTCTCTATCTCTGGGTCAAAGTATTCAGCTTCGAAATGAACAAGTTCTGACCTAAGTGAGAGGCAGGAAAATAGATTCAACAACTAAGCACGCTGCAGCCCCTTTCTGGTTGGAGGTGGTCTCTGCCCAGCTCCCTTCTTTGCCTGCGATGCCCACCCCCCCTTTAACCTGCCCACTGCTCCACTGAGACCATTCTCACCGAGGTCAGCAATGGCTCCTGATGGCCAGACCCTCATGTTGATCCCTGATTCCCCACAGCGCTGGACTCCTGGCTGCTCTGTCCCGGACACTAAGGACTAAGGCTCCCTTCTGTCCTCCCCCAGACCCTCTCTCCGTGGGTGATCCCATCCACTGCCGTGGTCAACCGCCCAGGGGGCTGTTGATCTCTGCTTTGGGCTGAAACGCATCTACCCCAAATTCATATATTGAAGCCCTCATCCTCAGAACGTGACTATATTTGAAGCTAGGGCCTGCTTGGAGTGAACAAGGGGCCTAGATCTGCCCCTTAACGCTGGTCTGGGGAGGCAGACTGGAGGTGGCCCCCAAGAGCTCAGAGCCCGGGGTGGTTCCAGGCAGTCACATGGACCAGCCCCACCCTCATGGGGCTCCCTGGCTTAGCCATGCATCGTCACTGCCAAGCAATTCCTTCTTGGGCCAAAACATCAGGCAGCTCATTTGCCAATACTGGTCCACGCAGGCTCAGCATTGATATTCTAGGGGTCAGTGCTGCGTCCCCTACAGGCATCCCCAGAATCACTTTCTCAGCCACCAACTGGGATTAAAGTTTCTGGGGTTAAAGTTTCACCAAACACCATGCCTCTGAGTAAAGGGCCTTGTGGATCTAAATCCTTTGCCTTGAGGTTTAATGCATTAGAAATTCCAATGGTAAGGATTTTTAGACCAGATTCTAGGTAACAATATTTTCCATTCGTCACTGACTAGGTACCGTGGGGAACATGTTTCAATACTGAACTAGACACTTCGCAGGTGTTATCTGATTTAATCCTCAGATTCAATACTTTAAGGTAGACATGATTTACTTTGCTTTTAGATGAGGAAACTGAGGCTCAGCAAGGTTCAGTGGCTGGCTCAGGGTCACAGCTTGGAAGTGGTACTGCCAGCATTCAAGGCCAGGTCAATGTGGTCCCCAATCCCGCCATAACCATGTGGGGCCAGTACTGCTTGCATCACTGCCGACTCCATCTGCACAGAGGGTCTACCTGTATTGAATGGTGAGGCGATTATGGAGGAACTCAAATGCCAAGGAACTTGGAACCATAGATTTGGGTCCTATAGCTTAGTGATTACCAGGGATAGGTCCATGCTTGCCAGGCATTTCAGGCCTACTCCATGCTACCCATCCATCCATCCAGTCATTCATCTCATTCATCCATCCATCCATCATCCATCCATCCATCCATAATCCATTCATCCATCCACTCATGCATCCATCCATCCATCATCCATCCATGTATCCATTCATTCATCCATTCATTCATGCATCCATCCATCCATCATCCATCCATGTATCCATTTATCCATCCATCCATCCATCCAGCTAACCAACATGGGTTTTCATTCATTCAAAAAAACACTGCTATCAATCAGAAGCTATCCTTTCTGCCCCGCATCATCCAGTTCCTCTGAGCTCCCCTCACCTGCTCACAAAGGGATACTGCTACAGTAACCTAGGGCCAACGAAGGTCTGGTGAGGTCAGCCCACTGCCCCATGCAGGGGGCCTACAGAGCCGCGGGGGCTCTCAGTGGTGCATGACTTACTAATGCCCTCCATTTATTTTCTGAGGCTGAGCGGTGATGAAGGAGAGACAGTACCTCTGTCAAGGTTGAGGGAAAGGAAGTCTCCTGCAAGTAGAACTGGGGCACGCACTGCAGGGTGATGGTGAGGACGACTCCAAGGCTGCCCAGGTGCACCCGTGCCGCCTGGAACACCTCTGCGTTGCTGGACTCAGAGCACAAGAGAATGGTCCCGTCGGCCGTCAGGAGGGTCAGCGCCACCACCTGGCAGTGGGAGAAGAGCCACATTTCAGAACCCCTAGACTTTGCGTGATGCCCTCACTTCCCCGTTTGTCCTTGGAAGTGAGGCCAGGTGTCTCCTAGTCCCAGAAGCCCACCGTCATCTGGTCACAGGGAACTTTCCCAGCTGGGTCCCCAGTCACAGCCTGAGGGAGCCTCAGTCTTGGGGGAGGGAGGAAGGGGAAATGGGGAGAAGGAGGCTGTGTCTGGATGGCATCGGCCCTCAGCCATGTGGTTCCGTGGGACCCCAGTGGCTTGTCCTCCCACCACTGCCTTGGTCATTCTATGGACTTCACACTCGGGATGCAGCGAGCTTGTCCTCTGCCCGGAAGAAGTCTAAGATGACACAGGCTCCAAAGAGCCCTGAGGCCCTGGGTACAGGGGGCTTGTGAAGGCAAAGGGAGGATGTGTGTGCATCCGGGGGAGAGCCGGCCCTGCTGTCCCAACACGCAGCCCGGGGACCAGGGTCCCCTGCAGGCTCTCTCTGCCTGTTGCCCCCCCTGGGCACCGACTCGAGTCCATCTTCTCATTCGGGGACGTCTCACTTGCCTCAGGAACTAGATTCCCCTACTTGGCCACACACAACTGGAAACCTCTGGTCTCTGCAAAGAGTGGGCTGGGCAGTTGAAGACAGGCGGTTATCGTCAGTATCCTGGCCCCCATTTCCAGAGGAATCCTCTTTCATTGCCTGTGGAAGTACTTTTCCACACTCTGCTACCTGCTCATTTGGATGCAAATTGCTTTCGACGTGTGCAGTTGGTGGCTGGGTGCTCAGGGTGAGAGAACAGATACAGCTGAACTAATTCTAATTAACAGCAACCAAGACGAAAGAGGAGACATTGGCAGAAATGGGGCACGGTGGCCCTCTGTGGGAGTGAGGGCGTCAGAATGATTTTTATAAAAATCAGACTTTGGGGCTTCCCTGGTGGCGCAGTGGTTGAGAGTCCGCCTGCCGACGCAGGGGACGCGGGTTCGTTCCCAGGTCCGGGAGGATCCCGCATGCCGCGGAGCGGCTGGGCCCGTGAGCCATGGCCACTGAGCCTGCGCGTCCGGAGCCTGTGCTCCGCAACGGGAGAGGCCACAACAGTGAGAGGCCCCGCGTACCGCAAAAAAAAAAAAAAAAAAAAAAATCAGACTTTGTCTGAGATCCAGGGCAGAGGATGAGAGCTGCCAGTGAAACACTGCAGCAGGGCCCAGTGACAATAAAGGTGGACAATGGTTCACCAGCTGTGTGACCTTGGGCATGTGACTTAACCTCTCTGTTCCCTCATCTGTGAAATGAGAATAACCAACTCAGAGAGAGTATGTGATGCACCCAGCTAACTGCCTGGGGTACAGTGGATATTAAATATGCCAGTCCCCTCCCGTCTCCTGCGTGCAGGGGCCCATCCTGTTCAGCTGAGCCTCCTCAGGGAAGTGGCCAGTAAATCTCATGTGCATTTTGATTTCTGGCCACTCAGAATTCTTTTCCATACTCTGCTGATCATTTTGTAGAAACTGAGGCAACCAGCTTGACCTCACCCCTGGAGAGTAGACTAGGACTGTGGCCAAATCTTGGGAGGGGTGGTTTACTATCCTTCAGCCCCAGTTACCACTGGGCTCTCCTGGACGGTGAACCCTGCTCTGAGAGGGTAATGACAAGTCTATGGAGGGCTCTGAGTGCCTGGGAATCAGGTCTCACAAAACCTACCTTGCTTTGCTTCGTGGTCGAATGCCCTGGGCCTTTCCCCTTCCCTGGCTCATGGCATCCCCTCAGGATGCCTCTCCCTTGCCTGGTGATTCTCTGAGGCTTTTGTGCTTGAAAGAGGGGGGAGGAAAAGGACAAGGGCCACCAGTGTGAGTGCATAAGGTTGATGAGAAAGCAAAGTGCAGATTTAAGGAACAGTAACTCTGAAGTGGCTCCCCCTCGTGGTGTGTGAGAAAACAAAGTGAAGCCCTGGAAAGTGCTGTTGGCCATTTTCTATCCACCCCATGCAGCTCTGGACTGGAGCACGTGGGACCAGCTCCCAGAAGCCACAGTCAGACAGCACCTGCCGGGGTGTCCGTCTTCCTTAGAACAGAGGAGCCGTGCTCCTGGCTGGCTGACTGGGGAACACGTAAGCCATCAGTGCGGTCAGTGCCGCCAGGATGCTGACATTTCTTTGACAGCGTAGAGTGTGGGCTCTGGAAAGGGCCTTGTCCTACATACAAACCCATCACAAACATGTATTGAGCACTAACTGTGTACACTCAGCTAAGCACCCTGCACGCACTGCTGTTGCGATCATCCCCATTCTCCAGGGGAGCAAACTGAGGCAGCCAGAGGGGAAGAGGCCTGTCCCCTCCCTGGTCACACAGACAATAGTCAAAGAGCTGGGAGGCAAAAGCCAAACACCAGCACTTAGCAGTGATGTTCCGATGGCCAGAGGCCACATGGCCCAGAGTGTAGGTGGACTTCGGCAGAGAGGCACGCGGTGAGCTATGGCCAGCACGAGGGTCTCTCTCTCTCCCCCGAGAGTGAGCGGCCAGCCTCCATGGGTACCCCCCAGCAGGCTGCTTCACGGAGCCATAGCCTGGCCTGTTAGAAGCTCCTCCTAAAACTGAAAGTTAAAGGAGTTTGCCCCCCAAAGGGGTGGCTCCTGACGCAGGCGTCATGAACTGTCATCCAGCCCCCTGGCATTGACACATGCTGTCTCATTGAACACCCTCCCTGGGTTGAGGAGTATTCTCCCCAGGTGACAGCTGAAAACAGGAATGTCCAGAGGAGTTAAAAATCTGCCTACGTGCCGCACACAGCACACATCAGGCTTAGGTCTGGGGCGCAGGTCTGAGCCCCAAACTTGTGCCCCAAACTGGGCTCTCGTGAAGTTTAAGAAATGCTTTTTGGTGAAGGTCAGGTGCGGATCCCAGGCCTGCCTGTGCTGGGCTCCTTCCTGGCTCCTCCCCGACTTGCTAATCTGGAAAGTCCCCTCGCTTTGCCTGGCTCCTGCTTCAGACCTTTCAATGGGGATGGAACCCTTTGCTCTGCTTGCCCTTTTCCCCAGGGTGGCCAGGAGGCTCCTGAGAGGCAGGGCTGCGTCAACATGCATGAGGGCGCCTTCGTCACTTGTGTCTGCTGGGGACGGATGAGGGTTAGGGGAGACGATGTTTCTGAAGGACCCCTGCCGAGTCTCCGTCAGAGGTGAGACCGGGTGGGTTTGAGGCCCTCGTGGAGCTGTGCCGACACTGCCCTGGAGTACCTGCTTGTCCAGCAGCCACGATGCAAAGGGTGAAAGGGGCTCCGTCCCAACCTCCCCTCTCCCTGGCAGTCAGTGGCGAAGCAGATAGACTCACCTGGGTGGCCAGGATGCCGTGCTTGATCCCCGTGTTGTGCGTTCCGGACCCGATGACGCCAGCTGCAGTCACGTCTGACACGGCTCCCAGGCTGGAGGGAGGGGGAGGGACGAAGGGACCAGTTAGGCTTCCTGTGACAATGCCCCCTGGGGTTTCGGTGTGAGGCCCCTCAGAGCAGAATAGTTGATCCATCTCCTGCCTGGGAATCTCGTCCCCAACTTACCACATCTTAGATCGTCTGACTCAAGCCAGCCCTTGTCTGTGAGCCGCGTGGCCCGTCAGATGAGCTAGTGGGGATACGGCTCAGCTCCGAGGGGAGGCCTGCCTGCCTGCCTGCCTCGGGCTTTCTGCAGCCTAGAACATCCCTTTCCTCCGACCTCCATCTGCCAGCAATATCTTCTCCACCAACCACAGGCCAAACGCTCCTACTTCTCCAGACTTCTCCAGACCCAGCCTATCGAGGCCTGTAGAGTCCCCATGTCAGAATTGCACAGCCATCCCAGGATGGTAGGAGGACACAGGAGAAGGAGATCATGTCACCCACTGCTCAGAAACCTCCAGGGTCCCCCAGGGCCTCCAGGATCAAGCCCGCACCCCTCAGCCTGGTGTTCCAGGCCCTGGAACAAATAATAAGAGGATGCTGTGTGCACGAGGACCAGATTCCTAAAGGGGAATAAGACGCCTCCACCGGCGTGGGCTCTGAGGACAGGAATTAGAAAGATGTGCTCAGATCTCAGGGTCCAGGCAAGAGAGTGGGTCAGGAGTTTTTCAGAAATCTTACTTCTCAGGAGCTTTCTCTGAGACATCCCAGCCCCGGCTGAAAGGAGAAAGGAACCAGTGTTTACAGAAGGCCCACTGGGAGCCAAGGAGATTGGAGCTTTGCACGCTACACGACAGCTTCACGATAGCCCAGTTGCCTTGGTTCACACTTGAGAAATGAGCCCACCCAGGAGGGCGGGTATTGGACCCAACCTGGCCCTCAGCACAGACCCAGGGCCCCAGAGGCAGGAGGGCCCTGGCTTCCAAAGAGACAGGTTGACAAGGATGAGGAAATCTAGCCTCATACCCTCCTGCAATGAGACCTGGGGCGGCCCTGGTGAAACAGGAAGAGGAGGAAAGAAACCGAAGCCTCTTCCTTCCTCTACCCTCACTCTTGTGTCACTCTTACCTTTTTGTCCACATTAGTTGGGTGACTTGGTGATATCACCCCTTGTGAAAATACCAGAATGTTAAAAGAAGATCACAGAAGTCCTGTCGCAGGGAATGCCCCAGCGTGTGGAAAGGCAGATGCGCGAAGATGTTCATCACAGCATCATGAACGATAGTGAAGAACTGAGGACGACCATGTGCCCATGACAGGGGAGGGGATGGTTCACCAACCTGCAGTAAGTCTACCCTTGTCCACGAAGCTCACAGAGACTAACGAGCAACACGGAAATGGGCTTGGGACCACGTTAAAAGAAAGAGCTGATCTAAGTGTCCATTGACAGATGGATGGATAAGGATGTGGTGTGTATATACAATGGAATATTACTCAGCCATAAAAAAGAATGAAATAATGCCATTTGCAGTAATGTGGATGGACCCTGAGATTATCATACTAAGTGAATTAAGTCAGAAGAGAAAGACTAATACCATATGCTATCACTTATATGTGGAATCTGAAATATGACACAAATGAATTTATTTACAGACCACAAGTGGACTCACAGACATAGAAAACAAACTTACGGTTACCAAAGGGGAAAGAGAGGGATAAATTAGGAGTTTGGGATTAACAGATACACACTACTATATATAAGATAGATAACCAACAAGGACCTACTGTATAGTATAGGGAACTATATTCAATATCGTGGAATAACCTATAATGGAAAAGAATCTGAAAAAGAATACACGCACACACATATATGAAACTGAATCACTTTCCTGTATACCTGAAACTAACACAACACTGTAAATCAACTATGCTTCAATAAAAATAAATAAATAAGTAAAAGAAATAAGCTGGACAAACGTGAGGCCCTCAGGGAGGAAGACCTAGGAAGGAAGGATTAGACTTTAGTCCCCCGAGGGGTGGAGAGAACAAGGGAAAGGTCACTTCCAGAGTCTGTGGAGCAAGACAGAGCCAGGAAAATGAAGGGGGAACCGACACTTACTTGGTAATTACTGTGTGGGGCACCTCTGACTCACGCAGGCCTCTGAGCGCCCCTATTTCACAGACCCATTTTCTAGATGAGAACTCTGAGGCCCAGAAGGGTCAAGGAACTTGAGTGACAGCTGGTACGAGGTAGAAGCAGGATTTGCACCCAGGCCTGCTTCTGGAGCTGGGGTCTTCACCAAGCTGCTGTCCTCCCTCTTAGGAACAGCGCCTGTGTCCTGCTCCCTCTGGCTCACCACACAGTGGGAGCTCCAGAGCTTCCCAGCTGCGTGACTTTGAGAAGCACCTTTGCCTCAAGACCCTGCTTTATGCATCCTTAAATGGGGCCTTCCTCCCAGGGATGATGATATGATGAGAGAGGACATCAAGCCACCGGCATGCGGCCTGACACAGCTCTGTGCTTCCCCCCAATCCCCCAGCCACTCCCGAGGTCCCCACAGCATCCTTGGAGCTGCAGACCTAGGTGGCCCCTGGGATACACAGGACAGGACATCCAAACTCCCTTTGAGAGGCAGATGAGCCCTGTGTAGGCAGGTACTGGAGGAGGACTGGGTCCCCAGGGAGGACAGAGATATATCATGAACAGGGCACAGAGATGCTCCAGGGCCCAGAAGCTAAAGCCTGTGATTAACAGAACATATCTCCTGTAGTCGCTGGTCACGGAGATGTGTCCGCTAGCTGCATACAGACCCCTGCACGCTCCCACACCTTCCCTCTCCTGGGCTTTCTTCACTCACACTGCTCTCTCTGCCTGAATCCCTTCTCTCCTCTCGTTTTTCTGGTTCACATCAGGTCATCCTTTAGGGCTCAACCAAGGGCACCCTCCTGCAGGAAGCCTGCCCTGATTCCCATCCATTCACACATTCCCCTGCCTGCCAAGGCTGAACACGGGCCCCCAGGAACACCACGGTGCCCTGAACACTTCTCTGGCATTGAGCCTCTTGCTTTGTGTCACGCTTGTCAATTCGCGGGTCTGTCTCCCCACCTTGCAGGGAGCTCCTTGTGAGTGGGTCTGGGTTTTATTCATCCTGGCCTCTTCTGGGCCTGAACAAAGCCTGCACATGGTAGACACTCCATAAATGTTTGAGTTGCCATGACCCTTGGAGAGGCAGAAACAGAATAGTTTTCAGAGTGAAAAAGTATAGTGATGCCTCAGGGCCTGCAATGAGAAAGCTAGGTGAATGGACCACCCACACTTGAAGACCAACCACAGGCTTCTATGGTGGCAATTCCAGCTGTGAAGAGATTGCTACCCCAATATCCAAAATAATTCTGTCACTTGTTTCTAGTGGTTGAAGCCCCACAGTTAGACATTCACTCCTTTGGCTGCATTCAGCCAAATTCATTTCCTATTTCGGTGGAAGCCTCCTGATATTAAACTTGAGCATTCACTGATACCACGTTTGGAAGGAAAAACAAGTGAAGCCACATATAGGTATACCAGGAAGCCCTGTGTCTCAATCAGCATATGCTCTTCTGCTTCTCTGAGTGCTTACTTTGTATATCTTTCTGTTTGGGTTCATATAGTTTTATTGCAAGTTTTAAGAAAGGCTTAATGCATGGTTTTCCCATCCCTGTACTAGACGTTTTTTAATGCTAGCCTGTTTCTTTCTATTCTCACACAATAGCCCCTGAACACAGGGGATGGGGAGATGGGTACTCTGTGGGGGAGGAACAGGGGTCCAGAGAAACAGGTGCATCCTAAGAAGTGCTTCTCTCTGGCTCCTGACAGATGCTTGAGTGTCCAGCCAAGGCCAGGGCAGGGAGCAGGGGCCATCACTGGCCCACCTGGGAATCAGGGAGGTGGCTCTTACTTGGACAAGGCCAGGCCGTGCTTGTCCAGCTGTGGGTGCAGGTCAGCCAGGAGGATGCCGGCCTCCACGGTCACCTGCTTCTTCTCCGTGTCCACCTGCAAGAGACCAGCAGAGATTGGGATGAGCTAGACCGTCGCTCAGTCCTTGTCCTGCAGTCCCGCAGGGCTGTGAGTATAAGCGTGTCTCCCGCTGCAGGCAGCCAAAGGGGTGCAGGCAGAGCCCTAGAGTGCTGGGGCTTTGGGACTATTCTGCGTAACCCTTCTTTTCACAGGGGAAAGAAATAAGAAGCAGGGAAGAGAAGGGATTTGCCCAAGTCACTGTGGGACTGGGAGAACTGTGTTGTGTCCTGAGACCCACTGCCCCCAACCATGGCTGCCCCAGGGGCTGGGGGAGGAGAAGTCTCCCTCCATTTCACAGCGAGGAGACTCAAGTTCAGGGACTTGAAGTCACTTGCCCAAGGTCACACAAACATCGGTGGCGGAACCGAGATGAGAATCCCATCTGTGTGATTCCAAAACACACGTTCCATTGACCCCGAGTGCAGAGCCTGGCAAAATCAATTACTGGAGCGCAGTCCTTACTAATTAGCGATCAGAGTTAATTTCTGCCATGACTGATGTCTTGAGTGGAACATTTTCTACGGGGTGGTGACCGTCAGCCTGAGCAAATCAGGAAATAGATAGTAGAGAGAAACCCAGAACGTCTGCTAGCAGGGCTGGAGGGGAGGGTACCTGGCAAAAATTACAGCTCAGGGGAGCTGGCCCCGTCAGGTCAGGTGAGAACAGGAGCCCTCCTAACGGGCGGCACGCCTGCCAGTACTCTCACTCCCAGGCAGGCACCTGAGGTGGTGGTGGTGGGGCCTGAATTCATGGCTGAATTGCATGGACGGTATCCCAGCACAGGGCTGATGTCAGACCCCTGAGTCTGCAGCCTGCTCTGCTGCGGATCGGCTGTGTGACCTTAGGCAAATCACTCTCCCTCTCTGATCTTCAGTTTCCCCATACGCAAAACAAGTTAAGTGCAAAGCCTTCTGGATTTGTCATTGTGAGTTCACCTCTGGGGTCCTGACTTGCCATTCTTGTTCTAGAGAAGTGGAGAGGAGGCCCTGGCCGGAGGGGAGGAAGGACATCCTCTCCGTGGCCACAAGGGGGCGCATAGACCAGACGAGAGGCCTGAGCAAGCCCAGGCAGGACCCCGGGGAGGGGCGACCACTGGGGACCAGGAATTGGGGGGTCACCTTGGGACTCAGAGGTGGGGAGGGGATAAGGCCCAAGGGAAAAGGCTAAGGAGTCTCCGCCTGGACTCTGAGACGGAGACCACGGCTGCCCGGCATGGGGCCCAGCAGAGGTGGGGAGCTCAGGGCTCCGAGTACCTTGAGGACGCGGTTCATCTTGCCCATGTGGATCATGAAGCCGTCGGTGCAGGCGATGTCTGAAGGTGAGTGGCCACCGCCCACCACCTTCACCCGCTTGTTCTGCTGCCTGGCCAGGGCCAGCACCTGCTGAGGCAACGCCTGCGTCAGACCCGGCCCAGGCCTTTCCCTGTGAGGCCACGGGGCCACCCAGGCTCTGGGCCCCCAGCCCCCCAAGGCCCTGCCTGGCTGGAGGCCGCTGTGCAGGCCACTCCGGGAAAGAGCCAGAGAGACGGGCCGGAGAGCGAGTGGGAGGGAGAACCAAGGAAGCACCCCAAAGTGGGGATCCTGGGCGTGCTCCCCGAGGCAGCTGGCAAACCTGATCACATTCTTCTCCTGGGCAAAACCTTTCAAAGGCACCTGGTACCTTCAGAAGAAGGCCCGTCTCCTCATGTTGGCCCACATGGGCCTCAGCTGCCTCCCAGGGTGGATGAAGGCTCCCGGGGGCAGGGGCGGTGGCTTAATTTGACACCGTAGCCCCCCCCCCCCCCCCCCCCCCCCCCCCCCCCCCCCCCCCCCC